CAGTCGGCGGCCATGTTGGATGACACACTGCAGCCATGATGTATGGCAGTCGGCGGCCATGTTGGATGACACACTGCAGCCATGATGTATGGCAGACGGCAGGCATGTTGCATGACAGGTGGCGGCCATGTTGCATGACAGGAGGCGGCCATGTTGAATGAAACGCTGCAGCAATGATGGAGGCCAGGGATGGACAGTGCATGGTCGCCATGTTAGTTTCCCCATCTCTGAGTCGGGGGCCGCCCAAACACAGTTGACCTTCTGCTCTCACATCCGTCTTCACCCACCTTGTTCATCAGAACATTCAGGTCCAGTTTCTGCAGAACCATTCAGGCTCGTGTCTTTCTGATTGGACAGAAACCCATCAGTCTTCCAGCAGAGGGACGAATGGAGATGAAAATCTGCTCATGAAAGGAGGCTTAATCCAAAAGGTTCTGAATATGTTCCTGGGTCAGAACCACCATCACACAGCAAGCAGAACATCTGAGACAACCTGAACTCTGACAGCAGGAGAAGGAATCTGACATAAAACTACTTCCTGTGTCCCGTTTCAATGACGGTTTTGTCTGAGGTATGGAGGTCCAAACAGGATCTTATTAAATTACTTTCAGTGGGAAGTTCTGGTACCACGGGTCTGTCCTGAGACAGCAGAGGAGCAGCAGTACCTGACACCTGCAGGAACTCTCCAGAATTGGTTCCGTATCTCCTGACGGCGTACTCAAAGGTCTTCCTCAGCGTGGAACCGCTCAGCTCCACCAGATCAAAGGTTCCTCCAAAAGGCAGAACCGACAGCAGGTCTTCCATGGTGATGGACCCTGCAGAGCAACAGAACCTCCTGACAAACCGCCTTCATCCCACCATCCCGCCCTCTTTGCGTCGATCCTGCTACCATTGTAGGTCCGCTCATCGATGGAGCTCCGAATGCCGCCGCCGTTCATGATGCAGGCGCTGACGTGGTTCCACTGCTCGTCATTGAAGAGCCTGATGTAGTTGTCCACCTGAGGAAACAGAGACCGGAGTCAGTTTGAGGATCCTTCCAGGATCTGGTGCTTCGGATCCGGATCCCCACCATGGCGTCGCAGATCAGGTTTCCCAGGTTACATTCCTGGGAGCGGCATGCCGCATTGGAGCCATTCAGGAAGACCAGAGTCCTTCCCACCACCGCCGCCGTGTAATTGGCCAGGTTCTTCTTCCACTTATCCACCTCGGCCAGAATCTGTGGATCTGAGGGGCAGAGAGAGGAGCTGGTCTCAGAATCACTGCAATCAGAACATCTGAACCAGGAAGTAAAACAAATAAAAGTCCTGATCCCCACCCTGTGGAATGCTGCTGTCCAGCAGGATTGGGTTTCCGGAATGTTCCACCACCTCGCCGAGATCGTTGAAGGTCACTTTGAGGAAACCCAGATATTTTCCAAAGGCGTAGGCCTGAACCACGGGGACCTTCCTCCCGTCCTCCGACGTCTCCATGAACGGATAATCTCCGGCTTTGGTCTCGATGGACGGAGGCTCTCCTGGGGAACAAAAACAAGAACATCCGTGAGAAAATCGACGGGACAAACAATCGCCGCCTGGAACGAAGCATTCACACCAGTGGCCGGAAAAAGTGAAGCCACCAGCCGCCATCTTGGTACTCCACTCCCATGGAGACACTCAGTAACGACGCGCATCGTTATTCGATGCTGTAGCGCATAGAATGTTTCCCTTGCAACCGGTCTAACTAGGGAGTACCAATATGGCGGCCGGTGGCTTCACTTCAACCCCGTACTACCAACAAACAATCAGGAATCCAGGGAATAAATAGAGATCAGTGTTTGGGAGCAGAAACAGGAAGTGGAGCCAACAGAGGAAATCTGAAACATATTGGGAACCAAACTGTGGCGGCAGCATCATGCTGTGGGACAGGAAGCTGTCCAGATAGGCGGAGCTAAATCAGAACCTTTTCCTGTTTTATTGCTGCTAAGGCGGCTCTACGTAACGCCCTCAGAATCGACCCGGTCCAGCGGTTCTATCGGGTCCCCGGTCCAGCGGTTCTATCGGGTCAGTGGTTCAGTTACGGTCGGATGGAGGCGCCACTTCCTGCCAGCTTCAGGTTTGATGGTTTTTATGCTGCTTAGTTTTGGCATCTCTTGGTTTTATTTTGGTTTTGTTCTTAATGATGTTCTCTGTTGGTCTTTGGTTCATAAATAAAAACATTGGAAATCTTTGAACTTTTTCTGTTTATCAAAAGGAAAAAACAAACTGAAATCCTCCAAATTCAGAACCGTTTGACTGGTGGAGTTTTAGTAAAATCTTATCAGAACCAGGAAGTTTCCCACTAGCTGTTTATGGGTCGGACATGAATGAAAGCACAGACTGAAGGAATGGAAATGAGGTTCCTGTTAAAGTTTAACCAGAGGAAAGAGGAACAAAGGCTCCTTCATCTCTGCAAAGCCCGGAAACAGAACCGGACCTCAGTCCAAACCCGCTTCTCTTCATTCAAAAGAAGAGTTTTAGAAAAGGCAGATTTATTACAATGAAACGGCACAGAGCTCTGCAGGAAACAGTCATAAAACTAAATCCTGCTGATCCCAGCTTCAGTGAGTCCAAACCGACCCGTCTTCTGCGAGGACACGTGTCCAACTATGTTTCCATGCTCAGCAGCGGATCTCTCAGCGGAGTTCCCAGTTAGTCCTGCTGGGTCCCCCAGTAACCGGACCTGGAAGCCAGAGCCGGCTGGGGATGAAGTGTTTCAGGCCCACAGGTCCAGCGTTCTGGGTCCGGTTCTGATCCATTCCTGCGGCCACCAGACACCAGCTGCATGTTTAAACACATCCAGATGTTCTGAACCGTTTGCTAATGTTGGATCTGCAGAACATTTCCAGCAAGCTCATTATAGTTTAGACTATTTCTTCCCAGAGTTCAGCCTGGCCTCATCAGAGCCATGAGCCGTCACCCAGCCGCAGGGCTCCGCCCACAACATGAGGAACACCGTCTGCCGAAGGCACCAAGAAGCTGAGCTTATTAAAAACCTGAATATAGAAGCTGATTATCGTTATGATATCATAAAAAATAACCTGTTAAAGCAAGTTATTAGATACCAGCAATGAAATGTCTAATCAGGTCTAACTTTCCCACAAGTTAGTTACATTAATCTGGATATTTCTCTGTGTGTGAT